GAGGGGAGGGAGAGGAAAAAGAAAGGAAAAGAAAAAAATGGAAACGTGGCGGTTGGGAAAATTAACCTTGCTTCTGGAGGCAGGTGGTTCCCTCAAATATTCCTTTAACCTAGTTAGAAAAAATTACATAATTAAGTGGCCGATATGACCACTTCTGACTCCGATCTTGCGTCGTGCGAACAATGTTTCGTAATTCACTGTACCCAGCGTAGAAAATTCTGTTTTCGCCCTCTTCTCCCGTCATCGCACTCTATATTTTATCCCGTTATCGTTTCGTAGTTTCTATATGACTTGGGAATTTTTCTGCTAATACGAAATTGAATTTATTAAAATTACACGTTGAACGTCGTTCCCATTAATTGATCTGATTTTAACAGGATTCCCCTGTTATTGTTATCGGATACTACTATACCGGTATAGGTAACAGAAAATATGAAAAAAGACACGATTCCGTGTTCTTGCGATCGGGATTAAAGTTATATACGTTTATCCGTGTCTCACGTTAATGGTGATCAATAACGTTCTGCTCGCCCTACTTTCGGCTCTTTCTTTTTCTGCGATAATTTATACGAACGGGCATAAAATGATTTGCGCAACACACACACGCACACACACACAATGTATACACACGTATATACAGTCATATATCAAAAATGCAATACCTCGTGGTCATGGGTCCAATAAATGGCGGTCGGTGGTTCGGGGCTGTGACGTACCACGCAAGTGAGATTCATGGTGCTGTCCTTGTTTATGAACATCTCTGGTTCTCCAACGATCGACGTGACAGGTTCTGGACAATAGAAAATAAAGGAAAATATGACTCACCATACGTAATAATTTCTCTTCGAATCGAACAAAAATAAACAAGAAAAGAACGATGTGAAACTAAACCGGCCAATGAGGAAGAGAATATATAAAACATACACTATGTTCCTCTTTCATAAGGTGAAATTCACGCGGCGATGCTGTGCACACAAATTGGCTGCACGTACAATTGACGAGGAAAAAAACAACTGTTTAATTGAAATTCACAGTAAAGTCAAAATTGCGAAAAAATTCTCTATAGCTACGCTTGATTGCACGCGGCAAATTGTACAATTGCTTATGGACACGTTGGTCGTCCATTCGATAGCCGTTCGACTGAAATGAAATTAACGAGTATCCGGTGACGAAACAAGAGAGACAGGCTGATGCGACGGGAAGATTGCGAAACACAAACACACGAATGAAAAGTAAAGAACAGCATAGATGTGAACTTACCGACGACGGAGAGATGCATCGAATGGCCGATCGGTGGTGTCGTTGACACTTGACACTCGTAGATCCCGGAATCACGACGCTGAGGATATTTCACTTGGAGCGTCCAGTCTTCGGTTCTGGGAAAGTGTGATGCCACGAATCTTTGGTCGGATGTATACGTTTCAACGCCAACAGTTAAAAGATGGATATCCCTGTGCCTTACCCAGGAAACCTACATACAGGACAGGTATGTGCCATATATATATACACGTGTTGTAGCATAGAAGGGATCAAAACACGTAGTAAGCACAAATCTCATAAGGTGAACATAAAGCAGACTTGAAAGCGGATCAATGGTGGCCAGCGGTGCTATCACGTGTAAGTAGATGCCGTTGAATAATAAAACGACCATCGACGTGTAATTTTGCGTGTGAAACTATTTAAAGTTGAAATCGAACACTTGCGTTTAACTATCAATTCGCATGAATAACTGCTGGAAATTGATTCCATCTCTGATATCCGATAAGCGGCGGTCCGTTTAAATAATATTCTCTATCGGCTACCGAGAGATAGTCGTATATACCGATTATTTGTTGACTTTTCCATCGAATAACCGAGGAATGTTTTTTTAAGCCGTGGCTAATACGCGTATCGATGTTAATTCGAACAATAGAGTTTTCCTCCAACCAGGGGTGAGGAAAGAGAAAAAAAAGGAAACGCGGACAATCATAGAGATTTACTGTACCGTATTTTTCAGGGAATGTTCAAAAAACTGTGTAACGTATCCCTCTGATTCTCATATTATCTGATGCGTAAAAACCGCTCGATGGGAATCCCGCGCCGATGACACGTATCACAGGTGTGTGTACACGTGCGCACCGTAAGAAATGTGATGTTGCCAGGACAACAACGACAGCGTAGATAACTGTAATTAATGCTCCTGTAACGCGTCCTGATATATTCACAAACATCAATTTGCATCAGTTGGACACACCGATTGTTGTCGACTAAATAATTATTAACGTTATCCGCTACATGACAAACTTTTTGTCTGTGTGGGTCTCACGTATACGACGCACATACCGGAACAAAATGCGATCCGATATGCATGTGTATATATATGTACATGAAAATCGTTGAATATGCATCATTCGATGTATAGACTCTCTGTCTGTCTGTCTCTCCCTGTCTCTCTCTGTCCCTCTCTCCCTCTTTCTCTCTCTCTCTCTCTCTCTCTCTCTCCCTCTCCCTCTCTCACACTCATAGAGTCAGAGTAAAACGTTCGTACTTCACGCCTTCAGCGATCGTCATTGATTGCACGCTGATGGTTTAATGCCATTTGTTGTTCTGGCTCGTTAAACCACGTTTCCCTGGCATGCGCGCGCGCTCTTGTGTGCTTCTAAATAGACTACAAATTAGTATTTAGGACATACCGATAATCGGTACATCGCGTCGTCATCGCACAAAAGAATATTAACGAAAAAGTCGTGACAGATAACCGTGGGTCCTGGCTATATATACAGAGACGGATGAAACGCCACCTTGTTAGGCTTTTATAAAACGCACTTACTCAAAACCTTGCCCATAGTATTCTGACCGATTGTGATTAACCAGTAGCTATTTAAAATTCAAGTAGAGCTTAAAACGTTACTTGCAATTAAAGCTGACTGAAGATGGGTTGGCTGGGTTTGCATGAGAATTATAGCGTTCGCTTGAAACGGCAGACTGAGCAGTAGACTTTCGAAAAGGACACGTGCGTGTACCGCGATGAATTATGCACCGGATCCCATAAGTAGCTTGATGGAACCCTGATATGTGCATTTACCGCACGACACGTGATCTCTTCGCGTGCTCTCGCTATGCCTGTTAAGTCGACAGTGCTTTTTTCGGTATACCATAATATCCTTTCTTCTCTAATGAGAGATTTCTGACTTGCGTGACCCCAGCCACAGCATAGAAAGAAGAAAAGGTAGAACGAAAAAAAAAGAGACGAAGAGAGAGAGAAAAAAAAACTTTTTTGAAAACAAAGTGCACTTTGTACAGCGTTATCGGTGCTTCGCGAAAGAAAGGTTGAAGAGCAAGCACGGACAGGGATTAAAGGAGACGGGATAGGTGGAAGGAGTGGAGGGTGCGCGAAATAAAAACTGCTCGGCCGTGTGTATTATGAAAAAGCAAGAGCTTTCTGTTTTACTTAAATTTCTCCGGTAAATAGGGGAACTATAGGTAACGGAAAAACGAACGATAGAAAAGAAATAGGAAACTTCGTTCTTGTACCTATCTGTATCGCGATAGCTAACTTCGACTCCGTTATGCCGTAACCGTCTAATGGCCGAACTTAAATTGTACATTTCGCCACATTATGCAGTATATACCAGACCGATTCTTTCGCTTCTTTCTCTCTTTCAGAAACACAACCGCATTATACTCTCTTTGAAAATCGTCATTAACTCCATCGAACACATATACCTGAGCTTGAAAGGCGCTGCTGTTGCCATCCCATTAACGTTTCCAAGCGAAAGTAATTACGAAGAGAAAAATCTCCGCGAATTATCGAATTTCTATCCGTTGCTGACAGCCGATAATCTCGTTCGCGGACAGAGACCACGTGACTCGCATCTTTAATAGAGGAGAGATTACCTACCGTACGATCGCCCAGATTCCGTACTCGACAGGTGAGGGTGGCCGTTTTGCCAACCAACGCGGTGACATTCCGTGACGCTGAGATGTCAAAGTAAGGTCCACGGTCGAGTGGTTCCAGTGCCCGATTCTCGTGCATCTCGGAATCGGATGTGCTCCGGGCAAGTCTTTGCACTTTAAGAAGAAACATACACGGAACAAAACCAAAACAATCTCGCGCGCGTACATGTAAAGATTATATATTTATATATATATATATACACGCACACACACAAACACATACATAGAAACAAACACATATAAATGCAGAGAAAAGCAGCTTTCAATGGGCTCGCTTCAATCTCCAGATTGCGGTGGATTGTTCTTTGACCCGAAAGATTATTTCCCGTGCTTCGCTGCACCGCGAACCGCTATAAGGCCGGAAATCGCGAGTAGAATAGAGAAAAGAGGAAATGTTCGCCACGTTTCGTCATTCGTTATCGGAATTTTGTTAACTCCTCGTGTTTACCGCGGAACTCTCGTACGCGCCAGAGGAGGCGTGTACGATATACGGGCCAGAAGTGGCAAGAAATCATTTTAACGTGTCCCGAAGTGGTACGCGGTAAAAGGCCACCTATATAATACATACGTACATATGTATATCTGCACGTACACATATACGTGCATCTCCCATTTTCGGTTTCGGACATAGACCTTGCCTACGTTTCGTCATAAAGTATTAAAGTAACTCGGTAAAGTTTCAACGCAGCAGTTTCAGAAACTACTTTATCTCATAATACGTGGCAGTGAACTATCGCTGGCAACCCGTTCTGTCACTTTTCTCTCTTTTGTGCGTATCCCCGTGGAAAAATATATCGCACCCCGAGTAGCAGCAGCAGCCGTCGCGTTATTATAACGAATGTTCCCAATATTTTCATCGCGGTACCCGTCGTTGCTCGTGTAACCGCGATTATATTCGTATTCGTTGTACTTGAAACGGCGTGCTTTATTCGCTCCGTTTCATACCGCTTGCAATCAGCAGGGTATACACACGAGAAATTACCTCTTTTTCTCATTACCTATTATTTTCAATCTAAACAATTTTTCAAAGAGAAATTCTTTTCAAACCACGGCGGCGAGGTTGAGTGGCGGGGTGAAAATTCAGTTAAATCGTTTTAAAAAGCATCATTGTTCGGCCAAACTACGATTACGCAAACCGATTCAAAAAACAATCCGCCTTGAACAGTTAAACACGTGGCTGATGAATTTCCACTTACCCGAAAACAATAGACCCAGAGTAAAAAATAAACTCTTCATTTTTTGTTTCTCTCTCTCATATTCGATCCACGATGTCGCTTGATAGAACCGTCGCGTTTTTCAAAAAAATCCACCACAATCTTTGTTTCAACCGGCGAGATGTATGGGAAAAAGGAAAAGGAATGGAATAGTAATACGAGGTTTATACGAGACGAGATAGTGGGAGATAAAGGAGTTTTCGCGTTCTCCGCGATCACTCTTCCTCGAGACCAGACTTTCACTTATCAATTATTTCCATCGAACCGATCCATCCCATCCGCGATGCTTTAATCTTCTCCCTGGTATGGTGCAATAATCCAAAGTCGAGCGTTCGATACAGCATTTCGCGATACAAAGACTAGTGTAAGATCAAACTCGTGAAAAGAGATACGAATCGATAAGCATCCGATTTTCCTTTAGTTTTTCACTGAATGTCGCCATTATGTCTCCGCTATTCGAGATCTACGCGTTGGCATGCATAGAAATCGCCCCCGATACTTCTTCCCCATAATAGTCCGTCTCACTCCCACTTACGTGACACTAGTGCTTCTCTCTTCCCGCTGGAACGTGTCTTTATCCGTGAACTACTTAATTGACCAACGGTACATAGATGAACAAACCCTCTCTTTTTTACTTCTTCGCGTTCTTTGAAATTGACGAACAAAAACAACTAAAAGAAAGGGATATTCATTCGACGACTTGTACACCGTGTTCTTAAAATATATATTCTACTATGCAAATCGAACGATCTCAACTGATTTTCATTCTTCTGTACGTAGCAACGGGCGGTGGAAAAAACAGAGAAGTCTAGGTGTAATCTCACGTTCTACTCGTATTTCGTTATTAAACGAAGCGAACGATTAACGTAAAGTAGATGATCTAATTCTTCTGATTCATGGACCGTGTTGTCGAACGAATTGGAAAAAGAGGAGTATGCGTCTGAAGCGTGTGCGCGGATGGATCTTCTCTCCTTAGTGAGTTTGGTACGTTGAACGAGGAGCGCGGCGAGCGTAGACAGAGCACGATAAAACTCGTGTACGAGTATCCGAGCGAAACTGACAGTGCATGCGACACGGCCCGGGAGAGACGCCCTGCCATCTGTCCTTGCACACGCCCCGCTTTCCCTCACCCGAAGTCAACGGGAAGATGGGGTAGACATCGTCCGGCGCAAGCGTATCCCTTTAGTTCTATTACAGGCACGCACACAACGATGCATAACGGGGTGAGCGTGCAGCATCCCTAGTCAAGAATCGAATTCCATACTGGACCGATCGTCGTCCTCGTCGTCGTCATTGTCGTACACGTGTCACACGCACCAACACACGTTATGCACCGTAACAAATTTCATGCAGCGCAACGCAAAGTAAGAGTAAAAGAGAGAAAGGTAAAAGAGAGAGAGAGAGACAGAAGAGTCAGTCTTTTGCATCGTTTTCCACGTAAACGGGCTGGATCGAGCTTATCGCTTCGATCGTGGTCCGTATGAAAGACAGTAAACAAAACGAGGCTGTTTCCTCGAATGTTTTTGACCGTTGAAATTGCTCGGACCTGGCTATCGAATATCGTACTATACTCATCGTAATGCTAAAAATGCCAAAATATTTGTCGTTTATGCGGTGTTTGCGACTATCAATGTATTACCATGATCGTACGTATTACTTTGAACGTACGTTTGATAAATAAATTTTCAAAAGAAATCGAGATCACTTTTCGTCATTTTCGGATTTTTGAATTTTGTCATTTATTACATTTAATAAACAATTAATGAAAACCTATTAATTATATTTCTGTTGTATTTATTCAAATTTAATAATTGAAACGTCAATCCTTTAAATATGTAAATATCATATAGCGTGTTATAGATACAAGTATGTTGGATACAATTATGTTAGATACATGATATACAGATATATATACGTATAGATACAAACGATACGCGTAAATCTCGAGAAAATTTGCCGTTCAAAAAAGACATTATGTGAATCTGCTTGGGACGAGAAAAGACTGAGATAGGGTGCTCACTTTAGGAAATCTTCCATGGAACAAGATTCTGGCTAATCTCGGATATTTCGTGTTAGCGGGACAGATGTTGGGTATATCTACGTTTACTTAAGGAACGTCGTTGCACATTTTTCACTGAACGTCAAGATGGTTTTACAAGAAGAGGTTGAATAATGGGCGTTTGTAGTATCAGTCGTTGGAAAGAAGAAACAAGGAGAAGCTTTAGGAAGTACCAAAGCACACCAGCCCCTTTTGTTCTGTCGAGTATAATGGACATGCATCGCGTCCCTTTTCTGCTGCTTTTTAATGTATAATTTACACGATGGAATTGAAAGAGAAATCGATGCCCTAAATCGTTAGAAGTGAAACGCACAAAAGACGTACAGCTTTGGTATCAAGGGATTCGACTTGAGTTTTCTCTCTTCGTGAGAGATTTCTTTCCCTCTTTTCTTTCTTCTTTTTGCCTCGGTAATCACGTAACAGTACGCGATGATCGAAAGTAGTGGAAAAAGCGCAGATTCAGTCGATGATAAAACATGCAGTGCACGTTTTTCCGATAAGTTTATCTTCTAATTTATTTACGGTTTAGGCGCTTAAGAGCAAAGAATAAAAACGGAGAAATACAGCTATAATTCCTCGAATTACATTGAAATTATTCTTCGATATGATACAAACATTTCTTTAAAAATGATGATATAAACAATTATTTAGCGCTATAATAGAATTTGTATCTTACATTTCTAACATTATAGACTCGTTACTAAATCGTAACGTTGCATTGTAATTAGTTAATTGATGAATTATATATGACAATTAATTTATGGAAATACTATATATTATGCTTAATAAGCATTTAGTTTGTGTGGTTATGAACATTTTCGATATCAATGATTTCGATAGTAGAAGCTTCATTATTCGATGTTACAATATCGATTGTGGTTCGAGTTTCAAATTTCAAGATGGTAGTAATGTGAAATTCCAAGTTTTATAGGTTAAGTCACGGAATGACAATATTACGAATCCTTTGCCAGGACATCCAAATATAAAAATGTTATCGTATTTTGGGTGTTTAGCTATACGGAGTGATTCAATTGATTAGAATTTAAAAATTATGTCATACGTCGGAATGTGAATTTTTTTACTCTTTAACCGATCGATCAGTCTGCGAAAGCAAACTGTGGTTCCTATAAGTTTACGTACTTGTTTTTCGTACCTCGTAAAAATGGATGATCAAGCTTGCCCAAGATGCAAAACTACCAAATATCGAAATCCATCATTAAAAATGATGGTGAACGTTTGCGGTCACACGTTGTGTGAAAGTTGCGTGGATTTGTTATTTCTGAAAGGTTAGTATCTTTGAGGTTAGTAATCGTTAAAAGAATCTTATCATATAATCTTTGTAGGTTCTGGCTCATGTCCTGAATGTAAAATTCCTCTGAGAAGAGCGAATTTCCGTGTCCAATTATTCGAGGACCCTATGGTAGAAAAGGAAGTAAACATCAGGAAAAGAATTCTTAGAGACTTTAACAAGAAGGAGGAGGACTTTGCAACGTTAAGAGAATACAATGATTACTTAGAAGAAATTGAGACATTAATATATAACTTGGCTAATAATATTGACGTAGTAGAAACAAATAAGAAAATAGAACAGTACAAAAGAGACAACAAAGATCAAATAACAAAAAGTAAATCTAAGATTGGTAGAAGTGAATATGAACTGGAAGAGATGATTGAGTTAGAGAAGCAGAAAGAGGAAGAAAGAAGATTGGAAATAGCTAAAGAAGAAATTGAAGCTAAAAAGAAAAAGATCCGTGAAAAGGAAGCATTAATAGATGAGCTTACATTTTCAGAAGGAAATGCAAAGAGCATTGTAGAGACATTTGCCTCTGTCATACAAGCATCTAAGAAGGAACAGAAAGCAGCACCTGCTAAAGTCACTCAATTTAGTACAGGAATTAAATTTACTAATCAGGGAGGTCAGAGTTATATGCCCATACCAAAGATCGAAGAAGGTCCTCTGTATTGTTATACTCCTATTAGACAGGGGACAGATGGCCCAACACCTCCTAGTTGGAGAGAATTGCAAGCTCGTGGATACGTCTCTCATGTACGCGTTGAATCCTCAGCAGAAAGGGCAGGTGGATTTAAAGCACATGTTGCATGCTTAAGAGCCTTGCAAGAATCCATGGCTGGTTTATATCACAATCCTTCACGGAGCCAAACAGAATTCACAACTGTATAATTGTACAAACTGTTTTAATACCAAGAAAATCATATCTCTAGTTTTATATATAGGATACCATTAATGATCGTCTAATTGTCGCATACAATCCAAAATCTCTGATAAATCGTTACTCAATAAGTAATACATGTCAAGTTAATTAAGTATATGTGATATAATCAGAAGTTGCAGGTATATGTGCCTTGTATATTTATGTAATTTTAGTATTATATATTGTATATTACAATTATAACATGAACACTACATGACTGTAGTACCTGTGCGTAGATTAAGAAACAATCATTTTTTGTTTCCATGCAAAATAAAATTCATTTTGTTAAAAATAATAATACATGTTAATAATTTTCTCTTTTTCCTTACCATCGTCGAAAGATAAATTTTTGTTTGTGTTGCAACATTAATAGCGGTGTTGGTTAAGAGTAAATATGTACATATTATAACTATTGTTAACTGTGTAATATGTAATCATCAATCACAAACACATGACATTCAATGCTCTTTTGAGTTTCTCATCTTGATAGTCGCTTGATTCCCCATACGCATTTTTATGTCGTTTATCGTTTATCGGTTTATGACGTTATCGGTTTAGTACAGTACTAGTTTGAATTAAAATTAAAGTCTTGTATGAGATTATAAATAAAATATAGAACAGGATATGCTATAATCGCAACAAAAGTTATTATTAATTATAATTTAATACCTAATTTGTTAAAGGGTATAGGATATAGCCCTTAGAAAATTGTTAAGAATATTTAACCGTATTATATTTGTTTCTTCGGTAATTTTACGAATAATTGTTTTCGAAACCAGAGAATGCTATAAGTCATGACAATAAATTTAGATTCATTAAAACAAAAGTAAAATCCTAAAATGGATCTCGGAAAAAATATTTTGAAATAATTTTGAAATATTATTGAAATGTGCACGAATGTGATAGAACTCCAAGGAGTTAACTCGTATGTGGACTCAAATAATCATATTTGAACATTGAGCTCGACTTACCAAATGTAATACGCATGAATGGATGACAAAATCTCATTGCGTTACATTCGATTTGATTGCATTTGCTTCCTCAAACCTATGAATATGGTTTGATTCCTTGGTTTTGTGTGGGCATGGAGAGTTACATTCCATTCACAGACACTTAATAGTTACACTTTGTATTGGCTCTGACTTTATATGAATTAATTAAATTAAAAATTAAGTATTGTATTGAAAATTAAAAAATGAATTTAAAAATAAAGGATTATTTCAAAGATTTCAAAGGTTTGGTTCATGTTAAATAAAATAAAATAAATCATTAATTCATTTGTTACAAATTGATGGTAAATTAATAGTGGGATTCTTAACAATGAATGGGCAATTGTTGTAAATTAATATTAAATTATCATAATGTAATTAAATAATTGTTATAAATTGATAGTTAACATGTTATAAATTAATGACTTTAATGTTATAAATTAATAGCTTAATTTTTATAAGTTATCAGTTTAATGTCATATATTAATAGTTTAGTTGTTATAAATTAATAAGTTTAATGTTATGAATTAATAGCTTAAGTATGATAAAATAATAGTGTAAATATTAGAAATTAATAATTAAACCATTAATAAGTAAGCAAAAGCTCTGTTTCGAACTTCACAATGCGAAAGTTCAAGGAAAAATGAGTTCGCGCGCAAATCGAATGTTCCGTATATACTCGATAACATACCGTTAACGGTGTTCCGAAAGGTTAGTCGCCTCTTGACTATGCGCGGTGTTTACTAATGTCATAAAGAGAGGTTTTTTCATTATAACACAACCAAATTAAATAACTTGTTAGTTTTTATTCTAACTTACCATCTTTAACAATTTGTTACAATAACCACATTTATTACTTTTATATTTTTTACGAGCTAGAACTAAATTTACACTTCTTTGGTACTTAGGATTGTGTTAACCTAATGTTGACCTATTAAATGCTATTTTGTGACAAAAATAGTTGTATTGCAATATATAAACATGAAATTGGCCAATTGTAAAGAATGTACACCCATCCCGAAGAGAACAGAATTTACTTATATATATATATATAATGTTTAAATTTATAGTGGTTACAGATTTCTCGAAATTTTTTTACTAGATCTGTGATTTTTACCACCCGTGGTAATATATTTTAACAAATTATAAGTCTGTTTAATTTAATTTTAAATATACACTATTGCTCAACAATTAATTATTAAAACATGTTTTCTAATGCACAACTCTGTTTTACTTTCTAGTATAAGAATAGTATAATATAAGAATATAAGAATCTAATATAATAGATTTCACGGTCAGATAAATGAGTTTAATGATCATAAGTTTATTTAATCCAGTACTGAACTGAAGTTTTGTGTGAATAAACGGAGCGTGTTCAAGCATATAGTTCAAACGGACTTATAATTACAAGTATCGCGGCGTGAAGTTACTCTGATTTTTTTTTAAGGTCTGTATATCAGAATGTGAATTATGGAGTCCCATTTAACGTCAGGTCTATCTTGTCCTTAGTTAATGAATGGAACTTCGTATCTCACGTTCTTAAATGCCAACCTCAGAAGAAATAAGAGTGTTTCTTACACCCTCTAAGATTTATTATGGCGAACTTTTCAACAATATCTGGTATTAGTACTGATGATAACAGAACTATTGATCGACTGTAGGTATTTTCCAACATCGATGATAAATGGAACAAAAATCGAGATAATCGGAGCGTATATAATTTAATTCCATATTGTAACATTCTTTGTAAACGATATTTTGTATTAAAACATACCACAGTAACATTATTAAAAATAAAAATTTTAATGAAAGATTGACAGTGATCGACAGAGCAAGCAAAAGGTACATGAGCAATTATCTAGACAGTGGAGACCTATCTAGAAGAAAACACTGCCCCTTCCAATGTTCTTTTTGCATTTAAATTAATCATAAAGGACCCATTAAAAAGAAAACATTATAAAAGCATATTTTAAATTTTATATAACTTTACATTTAACGTCTTAAAAAGTATTGATATTAATCAACACGTTTTACGTATAATATGCTGTTATCGCGATAATTATAGTTATTTTATATATGTAGTTGTAAAATGTCGTTTAAGAGAAACACACGAGAAAGGTTAACTAAAATGCATAGTTCTCAAAAATTCTTTTTCCTGAAAAAATTATAATAAGTTACCATTATGTTGAAATCCGGAACTTCCACTTAATTAGTTCACTTCATTTCACTCAACTATAATTAGATAATTGTGTAATAATAGTGTACAACTGTCCATTTTACTTTACAAATGACAGTAATAAAACGTACATCAAATTAATAGCAAATATATTTCGTGATAATGTATTACAGTACTTGACTTATTCCAAATAGAATTCACAGATTGCCAATATAAATACGATCCTCGAACAAAAACAGGTTTCAATAGTAGTTATTTAGATTCTAAATAGAAACAAATAAGACGTTTATTTCATCGATCAATATTTACGTATCGAATTGGCAGCCGATTCAAATAAATCAATAGTTGAAAAGTAGATAAAAGGATACGTGTAGCCCAAACAATAAAGAAGTGACAAGTGGCACCATTTTACTTTAGTTGACTTTTCGTGAATGTGAGGTTAATAGAATGTTTTCGTTAAAACATCTGTTTGATGACTGAAATATTTATTTTCACAGGAAGTTTACGTTTATTATAAACAAGTGAATGATACAGAATGTAAAATAAAGTTCTAAAAACATAAACCAAACAGTATATTAATAACATGTATTAACTTCGACACGTAATTTTTTAAGCCTGCAATATTATAGGTCACGGTATAGATGTACATATTTTCATTACACATAACTGTATAACATGATAGTATATATATATACATATACACATATTGGATACATTCTAAGAATTCCACGGATCGTAAATGTCTAACAACTCTAACATAACAAACATAACACGGCACGACACGAAACGATGTAAAATACACGCAACATATGTAGGTAAGCATGTGTAATATTTGCTTGAAAATTCTCGATTTCAGTTACTTGTTTTATACATATGTATACCTTATGTTAGAAGAAGTGATTTCTTTTGAAAGCTATTTAACAATTATTCAGCAATTAACAATATTAATGAATCTACAAATATCAAGTTGTAGGTTATAAATTCTTTTTTGGAATTTTACATTGGACAGGATAACCAGATGAAATGTAATTTATATTCTACTACATTCTATCTACTTTGGAAATTACATTTAATTGCTATACAAAAGAGTTTATAAATATTAATGACTATATTGCAGATTTATCGTATACATGTTTACAACGGAGCAGTCATTCGAAGCTGCAAAAATGTATATTTTACTTAAAGAATAAGACAAAGTTTTATATATTTAGGTTATAATTTTTTAATTCCAATCATCAAAATATGAATTTGTATAAATATTCCAACAATTTATAATTTATGACTCGTAAGATTTCACAATAACATTAACTAACTTACGTGTATAAGGTAACTTTCCTTATTACTATATATATATACAAAATACAGTTCGATTATCGCAACGAAATCAAATCGATTTTCATCGATCAATTCGTACCGCAGTTTACACTCTGAGATCTAGAAGAATCGCGATAACATAAAATTACTCACGCCGCTGTCCCAACGTTTCATTTTTCTATTATGAAAATATTTTAGTGGCTGTGTTTCCGGAGTTTCGGAGTAAAGTCACGGAAACAGACGGGGTTGGCGAACGAATCGCGAGCGAGCGAGCTTACGCGCGAACCTCGGAGTCGGGACGGAGTGCCGAAATGCTTAATTAACGCGAGTGGAGCCTCGGTGGGGGGACTTCCGCGATACAACCAATCGCGCGGCAGCAAGTGACCGGAGGTTCCGCCCATCGAGAGAGCCCCGTTGCCCTTTTCCTCGTGACTAGCAGCCACAGTACGTACGCGAACGTGCATGGAGTGTCATCGCGTTCGTCTTCGCTTCGCATTTCCAAGAGGAGCCTCTTATATTCTTCGCGCAGCACGATTCGCGAATTTTTAACTTTTACATCAGTTACATTAACATTTATATACGATATAATACAAATTCTCGCATTATTCGTGCTCTCTTACCATCCGTGAAACATTTCGCGCGCTGCGAAACTCGACTTAATTCAAAATTCGCGGTTCGTCTCGCGGTATTGTGTGGTCAAAGAGTGCGTGTCGGGACATAAAAAGTAGTATATTTTTTGATCATTTATCGTATTTGTCACGAGATCAGTGATATATACGAGCCGGGAAACATGTAAGAAACACAGTTAAAAGGAAGAGAAAAGAAAGAAATAAAGAGAAAGCCGTCGCGTTCTCGAACTACGTCTGGAACAACGATCGAATCGGATCACGGACGACGTTCGATCTCGATCTGTCAGCCTCGGGATCGACTGCCGATGCGAATCCTCGATCGATATCGACGCTCGTAAGAATGCGTGGCTGAAACGACGGACGACCTTGTCTTTTCTTTTTTTTACCATTGAACCAACGAACGAACCAGCCAGTGTCCACCACGCTTTAACTTCAAATCGAAATTGAAGATGCGGCCCGTCGTCACGACCTTCTTACTCGTACCATTGCTGTTCATCGCGTGGCAAAACGGCGCGCAGGCCAACTGGTGGTGAGTTTGTACAACACGATTGTTTATGTCCACTGTGCAGATAACATCTAGTCCGTGTCATTAAGAGGCTGGATCTTCCCTCCAATACACACTCGTATTATTCCCTTCGAGGGGCACGCCTTGTGTCGCGAATAATTTAAATACATCTCCATACGACTCACTGCTGACTGTATAAAGATTACGTCTTTTTGTTTTTCTTTTTCTTTTCGTTCTTTAACGTGTTGACTGCCACACGAATTACATATATTTTGTTTTGGAAGCCACAATAAATTGAAATACCATATACTGTAAGATTTAATTTCTGCAAAACATTGTATTATATTTGCGCACTTTTTATCTTTCAGTTATGTAAGTCAAAAAAATTTTTTAGTCACTGTACGACTATCGTGGAAGTCAACATGACAAAGATTTGACGTTACGTCGAACACCTTTTCAGTTGATAAAAATACTTCGTGGAAAACGCGAACGTGTTTTGTCATACAATATCTCAACTTAACCTATAACACTGGTTTTTGACTTGATAAGCAACTTGTGCGATCTGATCTGTTTAAAATGCAACGAGTATAGTGAGTCACGGAATTATTCATAGCTATATGTATGTGTATACGAAGATAACGTAATTGTGAAGAGAAGAAACAGACTAGATCTTGCTAAAAAATAAGTATGTATTGAAACTTATTGGATTTTGGCATAATGGTATCCTCTGCGATGAAAAGAAATTTAATATGCAGTACTAGGATCGGATGATTCTTAAGAAGTATGGAAAAAATCAAATAGGTATAATCATACTACTAGACTAAATATTTATTCTGTATAGCCGTTACTAAGGTAACAGCAAAAGGTTTACAGACATACATCAACTACTTAAACATGGCGCTAGTCCCATAAAAAATAATACAATTTTCCATACTATCACTCAATTCTTTATTTATTATTTGTTTATTTTATATAACATTCTTGAATTTTCTTTCTAAATTACTATAACTGGAAAAATACTCAACACCAGCAGTAAAAAGATATAGATACTTTTATACTATTTGGCGATTAAGGAACAACCTGAGAAAGCCACATTTTAATGCGAACGACATGACAGGTGTAAATTAAGAAATATTTTCAGATATTAGATCAAATCTTATACATGTTGCAGTGTTCGATTTTTACTCATTGGCAATGTAGAAATACCAATATTAAGAAAAAAAAGTAGAAACAAGTTTATCAGCGATATGTTCCATAAAACCCAACGTCAAACATAATAAACGATCAATCTGCTGCGCGAAAAGTGTGCGACAGTAATTCGTGATAGTCGGCGTAAACGAGACGGCCGGCGGCCGGTCGCGCGCCGCCCGGTTATCTACGATCTACATTTATCCGATCGGTATATCCGTTCGCGTAGAACTCTCTACTCTCCGATCATGATAGTTTTCTTTGGGAGACGCATGGCCAGTCAATCGCTAGTTCCCTGAAACTTACTATTTATGAACTGAGTGAAGTTGGCACCTCCAAGTGCCCAGTTCTACACAAACCAAATAGCATTCGTTTGTCTACGGTTTGTCCACATTTGTCCAATTATATTTTTCGTTTTTCCACCCATGAAAAGAAAGGTTACTATTAAATGAAAATTAAAAAATACCGTGGACAATTACATCCCAATTTAAAAATCAACGAAAATGTTCGAGGAGCGCCGATGTAAAATATTTTAAAATCTTCATTTGATGATAACCTTCTTATGAAAGGTGGACGAATGAAAATTTTGGACAGTGTGGAAACATTGTGGGTAAATGAATACTGTTTGTAAAAATTCTTGTAAAGATTGTATGGGGAATATCAACTAACTATATTTATGAATTATTCTACTTGCGAATCGTCGAAATTGCGATCGCGGTGCCGATATATACGGTGATCTAGCATTAAATTTAGCAATGTACAGTTGATAAATATTATTGATTTGTTTTCATTCGATTACTTTTGATAGAACTTATTAGCTTTAGGTTAGATTTGCATATGAAGAGTTAGATTTGTCAAATCTTATTTATGTATATGGGTTAACGAATGCAATTCTTCCGTGAATTAGTGCACTTTTTGAACTAGTAATAATTTTCATTATAATAGTTTTACAGAGATTACAAATTTCTAAGGTTCGATAATCTCTTACTTAACTTATGCGCAGTGAGACAATGCGCATTGCAAAGTGTTTCACAGAAAATGTTTTATATAGCGTATAAATGTTTTTATACAGTTCCCTTAAACACACTGTAAACAAAAAACAAATTTGATGTGACGATAGAAAATAAAAACTCCGAAATAGATTATGTGAACTACTTAACAGATATAATCGAATTATGTTCTTTCTACCTTTCTTCTATACAATTTCTCCCATACGAAGAGATATAGTAAAAAGCACAAATCTAAATTGGCTACCATTTCCTACGTGCATATCCTAACCTAATCCTTTCTCAGCGATATCTCTACATAACCTAAGAAAAATATTCCAATGATTACATCACAGACTTTGATTTACTCGATTAAAGTTCCTCACATATAGGTACTCCACGGTTTTACTTCTAATTTCATTTGATGCAATTGCCAATTAATTATCGTCGCTGTAGCATGACTATCGCGACTATTCTTATGAAACTTATTACCGTAATGAAAAATTTTTTTCATCTCCAATAGAGGTCATGTTTCGTATGATTAACGATCCGGTATATGTATGTACTTCTATACAAGTTAGTTAGCACGATTAGAAATTTATCTCGTGAGACTGTTTTCGCAAGATCCTTCGAGAGAGTACAGTCGAAAGAATGAGCTACTGCGAAAGTCGTGCGTGTAACCGATCGAGTTTAGCGTGAGACGCATGTTCGATAGGAGGCCGGACTCTCGCGAGATTATGGTGGCATTTTTATAGGAGCAACGATATGTTTCCGCGGCGTAAGCGTTTATTTTAGCGTTTGAAATACACCAACGACAAAGCGCACCCAGATATGTATATTCGCGAGCGTAAAGGTGCGCGTTTCACGTTTCCGTACATAGAAAGGCACGTACATATGAAGGAGACGATGACGAAACGTCTGCTTCGAAGGACAATTTTCTACAGATCGTTTCACCTATTGTTTGTAGATATCGCCCGATTGCTGTTTACCTATATGTATTTGTCTCGCTGTAATCTCAAACGTGTCTCACCAATCGTCAGTATCCGTTTCCTTCGTTTTAGTAACATGATTTGAAATCACTTTTTAGTAATATTTATATATCAATTCCTTTATCTTTATTGGTTGTGTTGAAAAATTGCAAAATAACCTACAATAGTACTCAGTGTCTCTATTTTTCACAGTTTTACCGCTAACAATAAAGATTACTGAGTACAAATAGCGTGAATACTACGTATATAGAAGATACAAATTATTTCTATAAAAATATACAATTTTGCAATAATATACATTATTACTTTCATAAAAACATACGCAAAAATAAAAAGTTTAGTTGATATTTTAAAATGGAAATCAAATATTCTTTTTGCAAATTGCCAAAATAAGATATAAGAAAAATAAGAAGAACACAGTTTGACGTGCCTATTTATCAGTTACGAAAGTGAGCAAGTCACGAGAGTAGCGAATAGTTGAACGTAAAATTGGCCGGTCTAAAGTGCCTTATAGACGACGAATCCCTTTCGATCGGACACGCGAGTGGCATGCACGATCGGGGGAAGCCCCGATGATAGCGATGATACGCCAGCATAGAGGATGCACCGGGCGAAGCGCGTCGATGGTGTCGACGCGCCCCTGCAGGGCACACTTTTAAAACAAGAAGGCCGGCACGTTGACGTCTTATGGTCAAGCAACGATTCCACCGGGCAGATTTTATTTCCGACAAACTGGTTCCTCGAGGCGATTAATCGGCTTCGCTGGCGGCACCAAGCCTTCCGGTATATACTTACATATACATAATACATATACTGATTCGCGTCTCTTCGCCTGTCGCTTTATCTTGCTCAGTCAGTCTGGGCGAACACGCGACGCGTGAACTGCAAACGCTTAATAATTCACGTTAAGTCGCGCCTGTTAGCCTTGCTTTAACGGACAAATAGTCGTTGGCTTTTCTTGCTTCACCGCCTCCTCCCCCTCCCCTCGACCACTTTGTCGTTCGCACGGTCGTACCATCTTTAGGAGATTTCTCGAAGCGAATCCTCCTTAACACTCGCGCGATAGTGAATTTTTAGATCCAGAAACCAATTTTGTTTCACTCATCTTTTTAATGAATTTTTTACGAGACTAATATTTCTTGTCTTACCTATTCATATACTTTATGATTGGTCATTAGATTACGTACTTATGTACGTATTGTATTTGCTGTACATTTATACATACAGTAGTAGTAAATCTATGTACTTAACGTAAATAGAGATTTATTTTACTTCTTAAATATTATAATGAGTATTTAATTTAGATAGTTTATTTATTTTGCATTTTGTGTATAAGGAATACATAATCTATTAAACATATAAATACCATTGATATCTCTAAAAAATTGAGATAATTCTGTTTTCTAAATTTTCATTCAAAATTATTATATGATATACATATGTCCTATACATAGTTGTATGAACGTTATATGTAGTTATAAGATTTGTGTCTAAAGAAACGCAATGGCGGCTCTCTATGTATGTATTATTTCGGCTTTAGTGTTAATGTATTTTGTTAACCGCTCGATTATTTCAATAAACTTCGTCTAACTGTCGGTTACCATCGTCGCGAATGCTGCGTTGGAGTAGTGTACTTGTTATTGAAAGATGCTCCTCATAGTGGAATATCATTAGTATTGTTCGAAAGTTCATCGCTGTCAGTTATCCTAACCTCTCCCTTTGTGGAGCGTATTGTGTTTGGTGATTCTGAATATGAAATATAAGAGGAGGACAAACGTCGAGTGATTATCATTAGCCGAAGCTCTCTAAAATAGGGTAAGTGAATTTAATTTTATTGATCGAAGTCCAAGTCGTTTTCGAG